TTAAGTGTTGAATTCATCATAGGCGTTTACAAAAAAGATGTTTAATTGTATTTTACATTTATAAAAAGAAAAGAAGTAGGAGCATTTTACTATATATATTAATATATATTATTAAACAGTAGCTATCCAAGTAGAATAATTTATGAAACATTAAAATATGCTAATATGTAGAGAAAATGAAAAACAACAACAGCAGATACTCATAAAAAACTTACTACATTGATAAGAAGTAATGAAAATAAAATATTACATTTAACATTCAGTTATTTGGGATGTGAATCATTTACATTGTGTCGAAAATTAGCACGTAGACAAAAGAGAAGACCTTTAATTGTATTTTACATTTATAAAAAGAAAGGAAGTAGGAATATTTTACTATATGCAATAAACAACAAATTTTCATAGAAAAGTCATGACGCAATCCTTTCGCCTTTTCAAAACCCAGCACTTTAAGTTTTTTGTGAAATTACCTCAGAGCATGATAAAAAAGGTATGCTTTTATGATTAGATCAGTTTTGGTTTTGAAAGGGTTTTTTATGAAACGAGGGATAAAGATAATTACTAATAAATAATTCAGTTTTTATATTTGCAAGCTTTCGCTCAATACTTTGAACATCATCCGGCAAAGATTATTTGCATTAAACTAAGCAAAAAGACATTTGCATACATATACAGAGAAATGAAAGATTTTGCTTATTACTGCTCGTTCACGAATACTAGTCTGTTTCGTAGCCTCATCCATGATCTGGATCAATAAATTACTGGTTTTCATGAGATGTCATTAAAAGTCAGATGCTTAAATCTCTTAGTTAGCAGAGTCTCTTTAATTTCTCGTTTGTGTTCATTATTATCATAAGCTAATACACATTAGGTTAATTAAAATTCATTTGATGTTTCAATTCTTTAACGTGTTGTATGAGTTTTGATGCTACATTTTATGAATATTTTCCCGATGTTTCTCAATCCTTCCATCTGTCATTTTTTCACTTTGACCAAAATATATTAGTTCACATGTATTATACTCAATAGCATATAAGATAAAGCACTCTTGCAGTTAAAAATAGATTTCGCTGATTTATACACCATTCGATAGAGAATCCAACAACAATCACGAATATGTGGTCCCCAGGCTTTTTGGAGACTTTTTTCTCGTCGAAAACTTGAGATGACCAGAAAACCGAGAAACACCCGTTTTTAGAAAAAGCTCTATAGTTTTGCCGTGAAACGTCGTAGAGCTCTGCGATTGAAATATTCAGATTCAGTATTGAAAATTTTCAAAGTTTCAGATCGAAAACGAAAGTTTTGGCGAACCTCGAAACCGAGACAGGTCACGGTGTACATGCAAACTTCGTAAACTTGTCTAGCTTTTGTGTCTTGCTTTTCTGTGTTTTCTTATTTCGATCTCTGGAATATATCACTTGTCTTCCATGCATGTCAGAGAAAACAAAGAGCCATGTATAGGTTATGTTGCTGTTTTTGTCATCAGTATGTTGAAAATGACCGAATAAACAGGTCGAAATATCCAAATGAAAGCTTTGAAAACAGCCGCATTAATTAATATATTCTGCATTAAATCCTTACCCACAATGGCGTAGGCGGAGGAGGGGCGACGGGGCAATTGCCTAGTGGTATGAATCCCACTGCCCCGTGATTATTTCGGAACGGGGGCAATTGCTCAGTGCCAAAAAACTTCCTTAGAATTTTAGTAGCAGTAAAGTACTGAAATACTGATTCTGCTACGCTGGATTTTAATTACACGTTTGTTTCACACAACAACTAAGTACAATAAATGATACGATTGTATGAAAGGATAAAAAACATGTTCGACAGTGAGATAGGAAGCGCTCAATGTGTCTCATCGCTTTATATACATCAGCTAAGGAAAAGTTAACAAATTCAAATGTAACTTCGGCCCAGTCGATCTTTTCATTACCCATAGTTGCCCAGTCGTCAAAACCTTTTAGCTGGGGAATCGCCCAGTGCTAAAAAAATCCTGGCTACGCCACTGCTTACTCATGAAAGTTTTTAATTTTGATGTTTATATCAAGGGACCCATTGGGGTTACATTCTACACAAGTACAGGTCAGTTAAAAAACTGTTCCTAAGAAAAGAGAGTACAAGGCTTGACATAAAGTTTCTGAAAACATATCGAATAAAAAATGTCATATCAAAATTTCTATGGTTCAAGAAAGTTAGCGGTCGACTATCATCAACTAAAGCGTACAGAGACAGTCAGCACCGATTATTGCTGCAAGAAATCGATTTTAAGTACTAAGATTTGTATCGTGTAAACAAACAATTCGACTGTAGTTACAATCTTTTCAAACAGTCAGTGCCAGGACTGATTTTTAATGGAGTCATGAACATCATCACATCGACAATAACGCATAACGAACGAATGAAGAAGAAAATCACGTTAGAGAAAAAGCTGCTAGCTTATACTGGAAAAAGCGTTCGTAAAACATCAACCAATACCACACAAAACACGAAAGTGGTTACGAATCTTTCTAGTCGCATTTTGACTTCTGAAGTACTCGGGAAATGAATTCTACTTTGAACTTGTAGACGGAGTAGAAACAGATTTTGCAATAGCTTGTTTCGTAGCCCGTGAAACTCTCTATCACATGAGACATCGCTTGAATTTGATCGTTTGAATTTGGAGACATTGAGTCTTTATTAGAAATAGGACTTTAAGAGAGTAGTGTAGTATAAACTGATGCTAATTAGAGCTAATTAGTTAATAAAAGGGAGCAAAAAACAAACTTTTTTTCGTTTTTCTTTCAATACGTATTGTCCATACCTTTCTCTATCAATTTTCAGAAGAACCAGGTTCCTATGAGGAAAGAGGAACGGTCAGGAATTTGTTTAAAACGCATGTCCGGTTTTGGAATTTAAATGTATATATATAGGTCTCTATGAGAATTTTGTGAAATTCGCATCTCGTTCAATAAACACGTACAAAGCTGCAAGACGTCTCATTTTGATCGCAGTTTTACGCGCTACAACCTGGAGAGGGCGAAAGCTGTTCCAAGGGGATCTTCACGGTTTTGAATTATCTGAACCGGTTTTTGAGAAATATACTAGGAAAAAGAACAGGCCAGAAACCAAAATCTGCTGCCTAAATACATCCGAGTGTGGCCTACATTTGCATATAAAGGTTGAGCCATAAACGTTTTCGCCTAGAGACAAAGTCGGGTTCTTGGGTGCTACGTTTAAACCACGAATTCTATTTCGACGGAGCGGTTTTAAAATCTGTGAAGGGTCGAAAACGTTACCCCGTATTCTGAAGTGTACGCTACAATCAGGCCTTGTTAAGAAAGCTTTTGGTTACTTTTCAGAGTTTCTGGAAATTGGTTTTCCAAAAACCGGGGTCTCCAGAGACCTTTCAGGAAAAACACTGTGGTGTTCGGATTCAGCACACTCGATTACGTATTGTCCACTAAGTTTTAGGCGAAAAGCAAATAATAAAATTTTTTAATAACAAATACTAAAATTTTAAGCAACATTAAGGAATCAAATTACTTTTCTAGGTGTTACTAGTTGGGATATAGTGACGTGTTCGTGAGACAAAATGAACAAAACTATAATTAGCTACACTGTAAATGTGCTGACGACGAAAAGATAACTGATGAGCATATTATTTCCGTCTTCTTTTTCGTCGGAGTTTATTTTGTCTGATATTTTGTCTATTTGTTCTATTTTGTCTGATGAATGTGTCTTTGACGTTGAAACGTGACAATAAGAATAAAGAGTCTATGAAATAGATGCTCCTATTCACAACGCGAACAAAAGCGAAAACAATTCTGACGGATATATTTCTTTATACTATTTTGTGGACGAAGCAGAAAAACTAAAGAAAAATGAACAAATCATAACTAATTACTGTGTTTATAAATACACCTATATAGCTCATTACTCGTTGAATGCATAGCTCAATTATCCTTGAACCTCTCTTGAAATTATAGGCGTTCTTAAGTGAACGTAAAAGTGGAAGGAAATTGACTAAAAATAAATCGGTGAAAAAACGGTAAAAACCGGCCGATTGAAAAGTTTAATCGGATCGAGTTGACGTTTAATGACTGATCACATACCGAAACATAAAAGAAACAGGCCTAGATGAAAAAAAACACAATAAAGTATTTTTTATAAATACCGAAAAAAAAGAGCACACAAGTTTAGTCGTGTTCGAAGCCCTCTCTTATGTCTGATAAACAAAAAACATCTTGAAAAGGAACAATAATACATTTGTGACGAATACTATTGATAGGTATAATTGTAAAATTTGTTGTTAACGTTAATAATGTATATAATTCATTTAGTTTTTGATGCCTTTCTAATGGAATTGTAACAAATTGTGACATTTTTTTATTCGATACTTGATATTTTTGTACAAAAATGAAATAATCAGCATGATATTTATAAAATAATATAACATTTCTATATTCCACACCTAAATTAGATTTAAATGAAATAATATAGCTAAAACAATTAAATGGTTCATCGTATAATAATGTATGATAAGTAATAAATTTATCTTTATAACGTTTATAAAATACCACATCATTATGTTGTTGATTTTCACGTGCAATAAGATTAATTAATATTGGACGATATGGATTGATGGATGTATGATTTAGTTATATTTCATTAACAGCAGTTGATGATGAAATTTCAAATTCTGTTGTTTTAACGATACATTCAATATAGGTCCAATACGCAATTTGACTAGCTAGATGTTTTGTTCCATGCACCTTTTTTTTTATATGACGTATACAAGATTCAAACGAAAAAGCAGATGTAAAAGCTAAACCATGATGTATTGTTGTTTATGTTGGAAGATGAAGATGAGCATGTAATGAAAATAATTCAATAGATGGATCGTATACTAATGGTGCTGTTTTACAATAATAATGAATCAATTGAATGGCAAAATCTATTTCATCATCCGTGGCTGGTGCATGTAATAATTTAATGGCTAATGAGTAAATAACAAAATGAGAAGCATATAACGGTGGTAAATGGCTAACACAAAATTGGAACACCAACATACAATACTGAATGAAAGTGTCTGAGAAATGTTGACATAGAATATCTGAGACTTTTTGCACGTAGGAGATCTAGCTAGAAGTATTTCTAAACATACTTGACCTCAGAACGACTATTTCCGTATATGTGATATACAGAAATATGGCGAAGAAAAGAGCTTTCGAATGATATATAATAGTCGTGAGGAATTATGAAACTGAGAGAGAAAGATTCAAAAATACGATCTATAATATATATCAGATGCAGTAGAAACTTAATCAAATTTGATTCGACCAATTTTTTCCTGCGAGTAGTTGGTTCTAAGGTCTAGTAAGTACCTAGAGATATTCCCCTCTTATGACAAAAAATTTTCCACATAAATGTGGATCCATCAATCAGGTCATCAGAATTAATTTTCAATTGTTTACGAATTATCTTCATTTACATATCTAACATTGTATTTATATCAAAATTTGATATTTTTTCTAATATTTGACAAAATTCTTTAACAATGCCTTTAATTAATGGATAAAAATCACGTAAATCAAAATAATTATCATTCTTTTTTGTTTTTAAATCATAACATAGTTGCAGATAAGCACAAGTTAAACCATTCATAACATCATCATTTAATTGGACATGACCAAATTTATTCATACTTTTATGAATTGTTATAGCTGTTAATTGTAAATCATTGAGTTTATCATTGAAAAAGTTCAAAAGAAAAACACAACATCTAATCCGATATGTTTTTTATATTTCTGTTGCGGTAAAACTGCTCTAATTAATTTTCTATGTCAATAAACGTTTAGACGACGAAATAGAAATATTTCGTATTACATATATCATCGATAATTCGATTAAAGAAATTTCTATAATTTGTGAAACAATACTTAAAACATTGT